ACAGTTGGTGCAGTGCACAACACAACACAGCTGTGCTTCTTTGAGGTGTTCACCAAATGACCCAAAGAGTGACTTCAGCATAGGAGGGTTAATGGGTGGTAAAACTCGGCGTATTTTAAACTCAAGAGAAGAAGAGTTTGTGGGCCCATCTAAGTTGCAGAGCCGGTCGTTTTGTGACGTTCCAGGTGTACGTGCTGCCACCCAGTGAAATTGCCTTCCTGGACACCACCGTGGAGGCGTTGGTAGGATCGACCCTTGACCTCCCGCTGGCTGGCTATGCCCTCGTACCCCCCGGTGAGTACCGCACCTGGTCTGACTTCGGTGGGGGGATATTTTTGAGTGGTTCTGTGCAGTCTGCTGGGTGCAATGCACGCTTCAGTTGATCGGCACAGCAGGGTTCCTGCGGCCTGAAAAAGTCATGGAATTTTGTAAAATGACTAAAGTCATGGAAAAGTCATGGAATTTTTCAAACACTGTGTGATTCTGTTATCAGAAATAAGTACATAAAATGTGTGATTTTATTCGCAACTTCACAAGTTAGACTAGTCAAAGAAATTGCGTTATTGGGTCATGGATTTTCATAATTTGGTCATTGAAAAGTTACGGAAAAGTCATGGAATATAATTGTCCTTTAGGTGCAGGAACCCTGCGCAGGAACCCTGCACAGAAACGTGCTAAGCGCCGGAAACATTTCTTAGCAGAAATGGTCGAAGAGCGGAAATGTTATGTGACATGTATTTTTGAGAGATGATTATAACCAAGATTATTTCCACAAACAAACATTAACTTTTTGTTGAAGGCTTTGGAGTTCCTAACATGAGAGCATGCTGATAACAGTTTCCGTGGGCGATGAATATTCATACTTTCTGTTTTTGAATAAAGACCTGTACCCTCTCTGAGTGATCCTTCCAGGTTTTCAACATTGCCGATATTTGCAGTTTGCCATATTTGTCTTATAAAGTTTGGCACGATTGCTTGCCTTGGGACATGTATGAATCACATGGTTTCGGACTAACACCTGATGAATAAACTCTCTAATGGTATGTAGGAGGCAGAGTGCCATTACAGGATTATAGAGGTCTCGGGTTAGAATCCCACCTCGGTCAATTCTCTTTGTCCATCAAATCCTGTTCTTTTCTAACGCAGGTTTTGCCGGCTCAAAGCAGCCATGACCAACTGCGCCCTGCCCGTATATTATAGGGCAGGATGTTGGAGGTCTTGGGTTAGAATCCTACCCCTGTCAATTCTCTTTGTTCATGAGGTACCTTTGTTTCTTGTTCAACTGATGCAGGCAAACTCAAAGCCGCCCTGACCGACTGCAGTACACTGCCCATTAGCATTGCCCTCTCGGATACCACCATCTTCCAACAAACAGAAGGTGAGTGGGAAAGTATGAAAGACGATAAATCACCAAGACAGTTGATATGATCACAGATGAAGAAACAGCCGATGTTTTGACTTCCTTAACCCTAACACTCCTCAATCCTTCACCTGTTGGAGGACTGAGGAGTGTTAGGGTTAACCCTTCCCGAATAGACCAACTGCACCGCCTAAGTCACCTGACCTATAGTGGGTATCAAACATCGGTAGCGTGGCGTCCTTTCGTTGCGAAGTGTGTCATAGGTGTCGTGTACCAAAAATCGAGCTGACGGTCAGTTTTAAGTACTCACACTACTGATGTGCTGAGTACCGTACTGAAAAAGTATTTTGGGTAAACAACACTTGTGGCACACTTTGCTACGGAAGGACGCCATATTGTTGATATTTGACACCCGCTATAGGTCAGGTGACTTACATGTAGGTGGCGCAGTAGGTTAAAGCCATTACAGACATTGCAAATATACCTTGTCAATATTTTGGATAGTGTAACAAGCATAAGGCAATAACTGCACAATATATAAATAATCTTGTATATTACACGTGTTATATTATTAATTATATTATATAATATTGTATACAATATAATTTTAAGAGCTAGCTGACTTTATAAAATCATTGGACCCCCCCAAAAAATTGAAAGAGAAGTTGGCATTCTGGTTTCTTTATGTCCACGTGCCTGCAGACTCCCCTGCAGGAAAAACATTATAACTTAAAACTTTTTAAAATTTTAAAAAAATGTTTGAACCCTTTGCAATATCTCATATTTCAAATGTTGTTTCCATTCCATATTTTAATCAGGCTGCCAGTGTAAAATCGGTTTCAATCCAGAAGATTTTGCTAGTCCGCTCCGTGCAGTTGCACATACTGTTGGACATCGACCCATCTTTTCCCATCCATTCTTACCATTTTTCCCCTTCCCAGGAACCGCCAATCTCGTCAACGGTGCATGCCGCATGATCCCCGTGAAGGCGCTCAACCCGGGCCACACGCAGGTCACCGTCGCCTACGAGCAGGGAGGCCAGCGACTCCAGGCCGCCATCACAGTCTCAGCATACGTGCCCTTGAAGGTAAGGCAGCGTCAAATCCCCATGGTCCGTCCCAACATCACATTTTCCACTGCTCGCTGGGCCCAGAGGCATTCCTATAAACCACCTCAAATCCCTGGAGTGAACACAACTGTTACTCTAAATAATCAACCACAAATAATCCTTGGTTAATGCCGTTGCGAGTCCAGACTCTTCAAATGACTTCTGTGCATTAACTGATCAGGTGCAAAGTCAGCTGTTCTCAAACTGAGTATTGAATGTGAGAAATTGTATTGTCATACGTCTGTCTTTGATACTGTCTGTTCATTGGCCCAGAACGATCACATGACAGGGCGATATATCCGCATATCACACTCACTGTGAGACATCTCATTCTGCTGATAGCACGTACATGCAAACGAGACAGAAGAGCTTCGCGAAGGTCAAGAGCAACCGTTGTGGCTTATTTAGTCATTTTTTTAACCAGGGAATTTGATGACTGGTCGTGCTCGTATAACAAACTCGTTCGAGTCCCCGCAGCGGGTATAAGGTAATGCAGGGACCACTAACCAGACTACATGACATGTGGACTTGTGTTCACTGGTACCCACGCTACTTTCACATTGAAGTTTACGCATTTAAAGAAAGTGAGGGGACAGTGCATTCGCAGACGATATCATTTACCTCTGTTATATTGATTATACAGTTTGACAACAGGCCTAAAAATTCAGAGCTGGTTCCTTTGGATAAATTCCTCATTCTCGACATAATTAAGACTCAGTTATGACAAACCGTACTGAGGCAGGGTTCTCATCTTGTGTTCCGACAATTTAAAGCAATGTAACCAAACTGAGGCTGGAGGGAAAACTAGTCTGTTCCCTGATGTTAATATGTGAAGTTGTATTACTATTGCCAAAGGGACTACAGGGAACAAGACAAACATGGCTGCCTACGCGATAAAGGTCTATAAGTGTCAAAGAAGCAGTAGTTCATTTATCTATAAAAGCGTTGCCATGTGTAATGGTTCCATTTGTAGAGCAACATTTCCCAGTGCACAGAAATACAAGACCAGTACTGCCCACTGTACATTGGTTATGAGGTACCGTTAACTTTTCTGAATAAAATGTGTTGTGTACAGATTTAATTTTATTTTTTGTAGGAAGCCTTTGGCGAGTTAAATTTGAGTAAAATATGGTATGCTGAGATATCTGATCGCACGCAAATGTAACAAGTGGCATGCCCCCATTCACGAGGTATAGCAGCAGTATCTTTAGTATGGAGAATTTAAATTGTGATGTTCACTTGAATTTAAAGAACTCAGTGTACCAGATTTTATTCAAATTTCACTTGCAAAAGGCTTATTGAATGATATGTTTTGAGGGATTTGAACCACAGTTTTTTGGAGAGAGGCCAACTGGTACAGGTTTTCACTGAGTTATTTGCTACTGTTGGGATTTTGTTATCGTTTGCTTCTTAAAACTTTTTGTTTCTGTTAGTTTTTGTTGTTTGTTGTTTGCTTTCGAAGCATTTATCTCTATTTCAATGGTCACAGTTCAAACATTGATTTATCTGTTGCTAGACTGGTTTAAAGTTATGTTTTTTGTTGCTGTTAACTTGTTTCTGCGTATTAGCATAGCAAAACCTGATTGGATTCTACGAAAACAAAATTGAATGAAATTGGCGTCAGAGCTTAAGTGGTGTTGGTTTATAATTCTATTAAATTGTTGACTTACAACGTGGCCGTTTCAGAACAGTGCGCCACCAAGAGTTTGCAACGCGTTGGCCAATCGCAGTGCGCAAGATCTAATGACCAAATGTGCATTTGGAAAGGGTCGACAGATTTCGCGTGTTGTGATTGGCCAATGCATTGCAAACTCTTGGTAGGGCACTGTTGTGAATTGCCCAGATTGAATTTAAGATTTAATCATGAGATCTTGAAACTTCTTCAGTAATGTTGAGTTGTTTATGAAAATTTGAAGTAAGACTTTCTTAGGAGACTATGCTAATGCCCGATGATTCACTTGATCACTCATGTTTTGATTATTCACTTTTATAATGTCACATTGATTACCCCAGGTCTTGGATCCAGAGAGCATCGCCGTGGTTTCGCCTGCCGCCTCCAAGACGTTTGTGCTGACGGGAGGCCCCCAGCCATGGGTACTGGACCCATCTCGCTACTACGAGAGGCTGACAGCGGAGCACCCGGCCTGGGTCTCCAGCAAGCACGTCAAGATGTTCGGCTCAAACAGTAAGGCAGCTTGCTGAAATTTTTGTCTCACAGTCCCTCTCTGACAGCATAGTGTAGAGGGTTTACACTGCTGCCATCTTGTGGGCCACTGCTTTTGTTGCACAGGGAATGCACAGAGGAGGTTTCTCCGTGGAACAAAAGAACTACCCTGCAAGATGGCTACCAAGCAAAGCCCTTCTATGGTTATTGTGATACAAAATGGATACGAGTGGAAGGAGAAGCCCATTGTTAACATGAGCAATTTTTTTCTTCTTGTAGAGAACAACCACGTCTTCACTGTGGTTTGCCTTCAGCTTGGAGAGCAGACGTTCACGGTTACCGTGGGCAACAGCCCCACGGCCAAGAACAGACAGCCTGCTGTATCGAGAGCTACAATCCAGTACGTTAATGTTGGAATATTTCCCAAGGCACAAAATCCCCATAGGGGTAACTTTCACACCCTACATTTGTCTTCATAGACCTACCCTACTATGGACTTGGGATCTCACAGCCTTACCCCGTAGCCTTCTCCATGATTAATCTTGCATTACACGCATGATATACATGTATCTACAGGTGTCTTTTATGGACCTGCCCCATAATGGACTAACAATGTCATAACATGCCTCGTGTTCTTGATGTATTCTGTGATTGACCTATCCCACTAATGTATCCAATATAGACCTATTGCACTTATCTATCCAATATAGACCTATTCCACTTATGTATCCAATATAGACCTATCCCACTTATGTATCCCATATAGACCTATCCCACTTATCTATCCAATATAGACCTATTCCACTTATGTATCCCATATAGACCTATCCCACTTATGTATCCAATATACATGTAGACCTATTCCACTTATGTATCCAATGTAGACCTATCCCACTTATGTATCCAATATACATGTAGACCTATTCCACTTATGTATCCAATACAAACCTATCCCACATGTGTATCCAATATAGACCTATCCCACTTATCATGCTTATCCATCCAATGTAGACCTATACCACACATCCATCCATCCAATATACATGTAGACCTATCCCACTATCCAATATAGACCTATCCCAAACATCCATCCATTATAAACCTATCCCACACATCCATCCAATATAGACCTATACCACACATCCATCCAATATAGACCTATCCCAAGCATCCATCCAATATAAACCTATCCCACACATCCATCCAATATAAACCTATCCCACACATCCATCCAATATAGACCTATACCACACATCCATCCAATATAGACCTATCCCAAGCATCCATCCAATATAGACCTATCCCACACATCCATCCAATAAAGACCTATACCACACATCCATCCAATATAGACCTATCCCACACATCCATCCAATATAGACCTATCCAACATATCTTTCCAATATAGACCTATCCCACACATCCATCCAATATAGACCTATCTCACACACCCATCCCTTGTAGACAAGTCCCACATGCCTTTTCCCATGTGAGCCTACATCAAAACCATACATGTTGAAGTCTGGTCTTTTGTCACTAGAGACTCGTTTCAGAACAGTTTGGTTAGTCGTGTCAGACAGATTCTGACTCAACAGTAGTTTTTTTCCAAGTACATTTTGAAATTAGTGGGGTACTTTAGTTGAGAATTTAAGTTTACGTACACAGCCACATCCTGTTATTTTGAACAGTGTGCTTTCCTGTCACACATGTGATTAGTTGAAAGTTTGTGGTGCGCGCTGGCATCATCTAAAGTGTTCACATTTAAAACTTCTGTCTTTAGGTTCCTCTGTGCGTCACCCATTAGGTTGCAGCTCATTCCGGTCATCAACCAGCCCCACTTGGAAGAACCGTGCCCCATCACCCTAGATTCCAATAATCAGGTAAGAACCGAACTGAACCAGACCGAACCGGTTTGGGCCAGTGGCACCAAGGACCTCTTGCGTTAAGCAAATTTAAATTTGGAAGATCTCTGTCAGTACAATCGCTTTTATTGTTAAGTTTTCAACATGGTTTTTGTTCATCCTGTGTATTTTAACAACATTATTAATACAGCTAGTTTAGAATCCTTTTGTCACTTAACTCCTTGATGACGGGAATTTCTTTCCGAAAGCCGACTCCAAGAATTCCGGCCTCGCTTGGCCACGAAAGCCACCTGCCAAACCGCAAATTCTCGGTTTGTGGCCCTGCGTGCTCTGCACGCTTTGAATTACACAGTGAAAAGGCTGATTGTTTGGTGGCAAGTGGCTCTACTCACGCTTCCACATTCCCATTGCCTCTTTTCAAAGTGGGCACTATTGTGAAGCTGGTAATTATGATGCAATTTCGGTCTTTTCATTTCTGGGCTACACACAAAGGCCAATGACCATATATACAAGAGCCAGGGTCTGCCTTCTTTCACCGTGTTTGCTCGAGCGTGGGTCGAGAATAATAGCTGACAAGCGGGTTGAGGATGTCAATTTTTACGGTGACTCTAGCAGCTTCCCGGCGCGAAGGGGTTAAGATTTATTCTATAATCTGTCTTTGTGCAGTCTGTAAAGAAAGATTGTTTACTGTTTTTCTTTAAATATTTTTGCCAATTTTTGGCACGGTGTTTCAGATTGTCTTCTCGAAACAAGGACAGCTGAAGGTTGGATATTTCTTGTGCTGTAAAAGACTCCTGTCCAAGGAAGGCCAGGGTTCCTGCGGCCTGGAAAAGCCATGGAAATTTGCTTTTGTTTTCCAGGCCTGGAAAAGTCATGGAATTTAGCAAAAATGACTAAAGTCATGGAATGTTTCAAACACTGTGTTTGTGATTTCTCTTATCAGAAATAAGTGCATAAAATACTTGGTTTCTATATGCAACTTTGAAAGTCCAAGAAATGGCATTACGGGGTCATGGATTTTCACAATTTGGTCAAGCAAAACTCAGGGAAAAGTCATAGAATTTACTCGTGCTTCAGGTGCAGGAACCCTGAAAGCATTCCAGTCTGTGTATTGTGTGCTTGAAATCATTTTCAAGTTCACGCATATCGCAATTTCACCCTTCACCCATTATTACCATATCTGAAAAAGACTGAAAACGTCAAATCCTCACCATTGCTGCCTAAAGCTAGCCTTGCATTGACAAATAGTAGATCCTAACCATGCTTGGTGCTGTCTTTTAGCATTCTTTTTTTCAATATGTCCTCTACCTATAAATGCTTCATGAAACATTTCTTCTCATCTTCCAAGCCAAGATAATATAATTACAGTGAGTAGAAAACTGCTTACATATATCTCAGTTCATGCTGATAACCAAAGATGCAAATTGAAAACAAATCTTCATGTGTGCTGTACGCTGTCCCCATATTTTCAGCAACACAGGGATTTGAGCCAGTGGGCTTTTTGGCAGCATAGCAAGAAAAGTAGCAAAGGAGCCTCTATTGCTGAGGAAACAGCGCCCTCTCTTGGGGCAGCTCGAAGCCCCTGGGGGCGGCATGCTGACAAAATGCACCCCAAGTTTTAATAACAACAGTCCGTAGTTGATTAAAAAATGATGGCGTGGGGAACACAAGTCCCTTCACAAGGCCAGTCGTAAATACGAGTAACGGGGTGGACAATGACGAAAGAATGCTTCTGTCACAGCTCATTTGAATAGCTTGTGAATTGGCTTAAGACTGAATGACTTGTGATGGACTTGTGATGGACTCGAAACGTGTGAAAGTGAAGCCCTCATGCGAGCGCTTGTAGACAGGTAGACGATGCGTGAAAGCAAGAAGACGGTTATGCTTTCACCATCCCGAGCCCTCAAAGTCTCCCATCCTTCTGTCATTTGGAAAAGGTCAAAGCCACAATGAAGCACACGTGTCAGTCAGTGTATGACCGCTCTGAAATGTCAGACCTTGTCACGTGCATATCTCTGTGCCCCTTTTAACGTTGGCTGTGTGCTGTCAGGGACATGAATTGTTCAGAATACCGAGCTTGTCCGGTTCCCGGACTCGATAAATCTGACTGCTCTCTTTCCAATTCAAGCGTTCGGTATCGTCCACTCTCAGGTGAAAAAAAAAAAAAATAGGAATTTTTCCATTTTCTGAAATTATCTGAAATATACCAAACTCATTGTTGTCAACATTTGGATATTGTCATTGATGGTCAGACACTGTCAGGTGTGTCTATGTACAAGTCAGCGGATATCTATGTGCGCGTCTACACTTGTGCCAAGCGTTGCATATCCGTCAATATTGTTCCTGAGGGGATTTTGACAGCCGAACGCAACGCACACGTGTGTTATGTTAATGGGTCGGTTTTTGTGTCTGTGAAAGTGAAACGCATGAACGCATCCCAAAAAGGTACATAAAAATTGAAAGGCGCCGTAAGACAAAAAGCATTTAGTCGTCATGGATGTATTACGAACTTCTGTAAATCCTGTAATTCTTGAGTTCACGCTTAACTTGAAGCTCCCCCTTGGATTGTTTTTAAAAACACTATGCTGAAACAATGATAAAAGTGATTGACAAAACTCCACCTGCATCTAATTAAAAGGCTTCTTTTGGACAATCCAGCAGGGGCTGGCTATTAACCCCTTGACAACGGGAATTTCTTCCTGAAAGCTGACTCCAAGCATTCCAGCCTCTCTTGGTCACGAAGGCCACCTGCCAAACTGCAAATTCTCGGTTTGTGGCCCTGCCTGCTCTGCACGCTTTGAATTACTCTACTCATGCTTCCACATTCCCGTTGCTTCTTTTCAAAGTGGGGACTATTGTGAAGCTGGTGATTACGATGCAAATTCGGCCTTTTCATTTCTTGGCTACACACAAAGGCCAATCACCATATATACAAGAGCCAGGGTCTGCCTTCTTTCACCGTGTTTGCTCGAGCGTGGACCGAGAATAGTAGCTGAAAAGCGGGCTGAGGATCTCAATTTTTACAGCGGCTCTTACCGTCTCCCTGCGTGAAGGGGTTAAACTGGTCCTCACTTATCGTTGTATTTCTCAATGTCTAAAAAAACCGAATATTTTTCCTCCTTTTCTTGTATGTTTGTACCTTTATTCCTAGTGTCAAGCACAACTGGAAATTTAAAGATGAAAAAGAAAATGCAATGAAATAGCTTCCAGCCTAGCCCAGATGGGGATTCCCCAGGGCCCCATGACATGTTGCATCATGGTCTATTTTTAATCGTAGATGGTACCTGACCTGAGATTTCATGCCAACTTGTCAGGATGATGTAGGTCAGGGAACCAGACTAACGTCGAGCTGCCTCATTGGTATTGTCATTCCGTGTTCCAGCTCCCCGTTCTAAACAGCGCCGATCTGGACATCATGGTGCGGGCTGTGGACAGCCACGGCAACCTCTTCCACAATTTCTCCTCCCTGGTGGTCACCTGGGTCAGCTCGGACACCTCTCTGGCCACCTTCCCCACCCCGCTGACTATGTACGCTGACGTGGACGGCGAGATTCGGGGCTCCAAGCTTCTGAAGGGTCAGTCATCCCATCCACTCTTGCCACCTTTTGAAACGCGGCGTGATTGCACAAATGTTGACTCCTTTATCTTAAAATATAATAAAACTTGCCCTCCTTATTGATCCCTGGAGGCAAGGACAAGGGAAAATAGAAGGTTCCACGGATCACTTAAGGAGGTTAGTTTTACTCCACCGTGGGATAAAGCAGTCAGTATTTATTATATAACACCTCTCCCAAAGACTATGTTTGATTTCAGTGATAATTGATTAATTTAATCAAAGTACAGTTCAAATGTTATTCTACTTAAAAGCAAAATTAATTTTGTTGAAAATTCTCTTGCTATTTCCCCAACTACCTCTTCACGGAATGGTTGAACCCAGCTCCTCAGCTCCAGGGAATATGTGCACACTTGTATGCATTTGTACACAGTACCAGTTGTTAGGCATGTAGGACTTTGGTTGTTATAGTTACAGTCCTGGCAATACAGCAAGAAGGCAAACATAGCGAACGGCAAGTGACTGGCTCTCAGTTAATGAAGATAACCTGTGGTTGAAGTATTATTATAAAAAAAAAACAGGCAGAATTAGGCCGAGCTACGAATAGAGAAACAATTGAAAATATGGAATATTTGCCTTTCCCCATGGCTTAAAAAAATGCCCTGTGAGTCTCACAGTGAAGTTTCACAAGAAAGGCCCAAATTTTAAAATTTTTTTCCCTCATTTTTGTGATTTTGAACTGGCCTCTTTCAACACTCACTCAGCGTCTGCTTTTTTGGTCTTGTATTGAACAATTCAGCCTGGGAGGTTTGCGAAATGAGCGAGAAACTTGGTTCCGTCACGGTCACTGCCGCCTCTTCTGGCTACGACCCTGCCCTCTTCAAGAAATACAAGATCCAGCTTCCGGTAAGCTAAACGAGGCAAAAAAATTTCAAAACCGAATAATACCCTTTGCAAAAATTTGGTCCAAAAGAATTAGAAAAATTTATTTTAAAAAGCAGTAAGGATGGCATGTTAACATGGAAAGATTTGTTCCTTTTTATCAGATCCAGTAAAGAAAAAAACATTCTGTTATTTGAATGAGTTGACTCGCTTTGAACTCGCATATAAGTCATATCATGTCAGTCTCGGCATGTAGAAAACCTTTGGTGGCACACCAGTATGCTATTTCTGTCGTCCGTGGTTCGAATCCAGCCTTAGTCCATGTTTTCCCTGTGTTTTAAATTTTTAACTGTAATATATTGTAACAGATGCACTTTGTCAATGTTTATATAATTCAGTTCATGGAACACCTCACTAGATGCAAAATGGGTCTGAGAAAACAAGGGCAGTGCACTGACCTAACAGACCAGTTGTCTCTGGTTCGATTCCCCGCACTAGTCTTCATGTTTCGCCTCTGTCCCCATTTATTTCAATAGTTGGAGCTGAAACCCCTGAGTGCCTCTCTCGACTTGAACCTGGTCGAGGAGGCCGCCATTGACCCGGAACAAATTGCCATCTTCAACCATCCGTCCAACCAGGTAAGTGTGGAGTTGGTACCCAGCGGACCAGTCCTGGCCTTGGTCCGGGGGGGGTAACAGCCCGTAACTGATATCGGGCTACCGCTGGGCCCGGTCTCCTGGGGGTACGTGGTCCGTGAACGATGAACCCCGCGGTATGGTAATGGCTGCCAAATGAGCCGTTAGCAGTGTTTGCAGCAAAGGTCGCTGTTGCATATTCATTCATCTGACCTTGGAAACTCCGTGGTTCGCTCTGTCCCTAGTCCCCCCAGGATCTGCCTCTATGAAGACTCTGCCTTTTGATTCATGTGTGTGTTTTCCTATGGTCTCAGTGGACTGGGCACCCCGCCGGCTCCATAGGAAAGCGCACCTGTCAAAACGTGCTACGTCATCAGCACAGAGGTTCATCAGTGACTGTTATTTGAAGATTTTAAAAAAGCTGCTTAATATCAACAATAATTTGAAGTTACATTTTTTCAGTGGGTGGGATTGATTAATTGAAGTGTTTTAATTACCCTATGCAAGCATAATTTATTCAGCACAACATGCTCATGCATTCAAAAGCTTGCTTAGATGAGACTCGACTCAATGACCTCCTGACCTGTAGCTGTCTCCCTTGATGACCCTAACTGACCCCTGAAATTGACTGACTTCCGACCCCATCAAGCTCGATGATCTAAAACATGGCCTATGTTCAGTTCTGTCTAAATTTACAAGGTGCTCATCACAAATATATCATGATTTTCCAGATTTTAGGATTGTCTATCATCTGGATTTTCCTGATTTCAGGATTTATCAAACAATCTCTTTCAAAATCTGCAAAATCCTGGAGTTTATTGTTAAAGTGTTTTACTAATAAAAGTTGATTTAATACTGAAAGAAGATCAAGAAAGAAGAAAGACTAAGAAATTGGTATTTTAAGGGATGCTCGTAGGCGACCACAAATGTAAACCGTAGATCCTACGAGGCTGTCTGGCCTTCAAACCCTCTGATGATTTTTTTTGTGGATATTTCATTTTCTTCCAATCTCATCCCTGAAACCCCGACCAGGTTTTAATGACGATCTAAATGAAGCAATCTTTATTCAGGGGATTCTGAAATTGGTTTTGTCTCTTCAAGGTCCGTTTCACACTGCATGGAGGCTCGGGCCACTTCCTAATCAGGCCCAGCCAACAAGGCATAGCGGAGATCGACTACGACGACAAGAAGAAAAAGATCGAGGTCAGCCTGCCCCTTTAAAAACACTCGTCGGTTCCACACGGTTGCCCTTTCAATATTTCTTTGGTCGCTCATGCAAGCCCATGTTGTGTGAAGCTGTTTGCCATCAGATGATGGCATTACTTCAAACGTGTATCAGGGTTAATGCTGAGATTTGTTTTTTTTTTTAAATATTATTGTCCCCAGTTCCTGGATTTTTAAAACTATAATCTGTCAGGGTTTTTTACTCTCTTGCTCCGTTTACAAAACCCCTGTGCAAAATTAAGCATAATCGTGGGCATTTGGGAGAGAGTTTGTACCTTGTTTCGCAGTTCAAAGTCAGGAAAATAATTTTTGTAAATCATTTTCCTCAGGTCAAAGAAAATGGTCTGTCTGTGGTTAGACTGCTGTTGCGGAATTGATCATACAGACCATTGCAGACACACATTGTCGAGTCTTGGGACTAGACCAGCTTCATTATGATTGTAAGCTGACAAACAAACGACTTTGTATCCATAGTCTGCTGTTACCGTTAACCATTGATTTTGTCAGGAATCCATCACCCTGAGTAACAGATTTGCAAAACATGTGGAGGAAGTGCGTCAATAGAGGGCGCCATTGCAGCTCTTGCAGAGAAAAAAAAAGATTGACGCGCTTGCTTGATTTCGACAAGCGCTACCACAGATGAAAGGCCTTTTTTTCCGGCCTGAGCACTCTGCCAGATAGTTTGAGAATTTCCCATCATTTCTCAAGCTCACCTTTGTAACTCATCCGTAGACCTCAAGAAATGCTTTTATGACTGTTTTACGAGTCAGTTAGGGTTCTTGTTAATTGACCATTAAATTTCCATTGGATTCCTCTGTGCACAGGTTTCGCCGAATCACGACGGCACTTTAACCCTGACGGCATTTGACCTCTGCCTCAAGACCTCCCGGCATGCCTCGGCCAAAATCCACATAGCCGGGGTTAACACCATTGAGCTCAAAGTGGTGGACAAGGTAACTATTGATCATCTGCTCCGAGTGGAACAAAAGAGGGCTTTTTTGTGGAACTCAACGCTCATGGCGCGCGTTTGACACGCAGCACGTTGAGTACGCGTAACCAATTCACTCCGGCATGCATGGTCTTTGCGTACACACAGAACGCGTGCAAGATCCTGCTTGCAACCACCTGTCTTTCTTTTCGCCGATTGGGGGGGATTTTAGCTCGGGGCGGATTAAGAGACCTTTTCGAAAAATTGTAAAAGCAACGGAAACGTTTCTCCCAAGTTAGAAATGGAGACTGCTGGTAATTGCTACGTTATCGAAAGAGATAAGGCAGGGCTATGTGAATTGGTATCTTATGGCTTATTGCTTTGGGTTTAGCAATTAACATGCCATGAGGGGTAGCCGTAGCCACAGCCAGCAACATCTCTTTCAGTCCCGATGTAATTCACCTTAAGTATTAATAAAAGATGTATTGTATATCTAATCAATATGTAGGCAGATATATTTATATTCTCACAAATTTATAATTGTTTACAAATGGAAAGAAGTTTGATACAAAGTGCACGGATTTCAAAATGCTACGTCTCCTCTGGTAGGTCCAAGTTGATCATGACATCGCAGCGGCCGTCCAGGTGCTAGACTCCACGGGTCAGCCGCTGTCTGTCTCCTACTTCCGCATGATGAACCTGGAGCCCAGGACCGGCTCGGACATCATTACAATAAGGTAAGCTGGTTTTGGAGACCACTGTTGGCCGAATGGATCATTTTAGGACAAGTTCGGGTGCGAAACTATAGTTCGGCCAGTGGTTGACTACGTTTTAGCAACGGGAATGCACACTTCCTACTGGAATAACCCTAGTTGGCTTTTTTGTTAAAAAACTCATTGTTACCCACATTTCACCGTTGGCAGGAATTTTCACCGTGAACATAGCCATTGAAATTTCATACAATTATTTTCAGTGATAAATGATAAATGAAATCAGTTGGTTACTTAGCAGTGCGACCATAACCCTGGGACTGCATTGTCCCAAATGGTCAACTAGATATTCTAAACCATCCATGGTTCGGGTAGTGTATGTTGAACCATAGTTAATGTAGTTATTGCCGGAGCTTGTCCTTAAGTTTACTAAGTGAACATACAACAAGGTGTTTGTTTCACGCAGTTTTTATTTTAAGATCAAAGGTCCCTACAGTAAAGTTTCTTGTTGAATTTCAACTCCAAACATTTTACTTTTTTTTTTTCAGTTCAATTTGATTTCATTTTTTTTCTTCAGTATTTCTGTGTCTGAGGTAGTTTCACAGTCTTTTTTCAGCCAGTGGAATTTTCCATTTTCCATTCCTAGGTAGATGCTTCATTTTTGCAACTCACAAAAAGAAAGGAATTGAAAACTTTGAAGCCAATAAAAATACAGAGTGCGTACATGTTGGTGAACTGGATTCAAGACTAGTAATGCATTCTCGAGATTACCGGTTTTAATCCTGTTTGGTCAGGAGTGCTATTTCCAAGGATAACTTTTCCAGATTTCAGAATTTGTTAAAATAAAAATGGTTTTGGATTTATCATTTCGGATCGTGTTACCTTTTGGCTCTTTTCTGCAAAATATTTCTACCATATCTCTTTACTCCAGCCATTTTTTTTTACCATCCTTTGGTTGTGACCAAGGAGCAATAGTTACTACAGCTAGAGGCCGTTCATAGTGGCCATGTTGAACACTTGGTCCACCTCCACTGACTTCTGTGTGCATGTACAAAATAAGTGGGGAATTACATTGTATGTGGGCAATTCTATAAATGAGGGTCCATTTTCTTTTGGGTCCCTGTCACATCTGACGTGATTTTGTTGGTTCAGAACGCATTTTCGAATTTCCAAGAGTGATGAATTAATGCAGATTACCTGCCAAAGAAATAGTATTAGTTTGAAATCAATTCAAGGGATATTTCTGTGTCAAAGAACAAAGGTCAGATGTAAAAGGGATACAAAAATGTCACATTTCTGGACCCCCAATTTACAGAAATACCCAGGTGTGCCAGCTTGCCAACAGGCTGCAACTTGGGGTGCGCTGGATGGGTTAATTCCTCAGCCGTGGCTGTGTGTACAGATTGATAAATTCCATTTACTCGTCCCTGGCACGGACTGTTTCAGTCATTGCTACAGAAAATCGAGGCATAATGCCTTTAATCCCACCAACAGCTGGTGCCCTGCTCCAGTGCCACATGGCTCCGATTTTTCTCCATTTATTCCTTGATTGTTCAGTCGGAATGTCATTAGAGGTATCGGTTGCCCTAGATTGACGAGTTTCTCATTAGCATCCGTCCAATTAGTGCTGACCTAGGAATTGTAACAGCTGAATTTCACAGTTGGGGGTCGCCCGAATATTTTTGGTTGCGGAGCTGTCTTATCTTTCTCATCAAAACTGAATTTATCAAAGCATTTTGCTCCACGTGCAGTTTCTGAACATGTGATGAAGCGGCTGGGCAAACTGACTTGGGGATTTTTTAAAGATTTCTTTTTAATCTCTGTACCCAAAATCACGTCTTTGTATTCGCTGGGAAAAAAAAAATGAAACCCAGGTTTGGATTTTTCTGAACAAAATCTACAGCAGTGTGATATTTTCTGTATTAAAAAACAGAAAATATACATGTAGGCTCAACTCTGATTTCAATGAAGTTTCTTTTTCAGAAGATAATGCAAAAGGTTTGTACTTTAAGGGGGGCCCAGAAGAAACTGTCTTAATCATGGTCCAGCTGCGGTCTTGGTCATTTTACTGCTCTCGTTTACCGAGAACACAATTTCCTGTCTTTTTTTTCGGACAGAGAATTTGATCCTCTTTATTCAATTACCAAATGGTAAATGCATCCAAGGTGGCCTTGATTATCCCCCCCGAGTGATCCGTGCTCGTTGAGTATTCTGTGTCATTAGGAACCTTGTACGTGTACGTACAGATAAAAATGGGAGGAGCTGGCAGTGTGCTTAGGAGACGTCTTTCTCTTGTTCCCTGCCCCAGACCACGAACTGAGCACTGCGGACTGCATAATTGGGCCAAACAGTAATTAGGCATGCCTGCTTGCGGTAGCGTTTGGATGCCTGGCCCGTGTGAGAAGTGTGTCCATAAACATGTATATACATAAACCTGCATTTACATTTGTAATGGCTTGATGCATGGCTGCGTATTCGTAAATATACATGTAGGTAATCAGAATGACAGGTGCATGCATTTGTTTCTTAACCTCTGTTTTGGTGGAAAAAAAATTCTGTTTGGTTAATAAGCACGACGGGAGAAGTGTGATTTTGAATGAAAACGGGTACACGGATATGGACATCATAGATACAGTTGCTGACTCTTGAGGGCTCACTAGTAATGCATTCGCGGTGCAATCGAGGAAAGAGTTCGACATCCAGCCACCTCTTATGTCCTTAACAAGACTTGAAAACAACCAAAAACTGGTAGTCAGAATCACCAATTTAAGAATGCAAAAACTTTGAAGTTTCCTTTGAGGGTGCGTGTAGATGCAGATTTTTTTCAATAGTGGCCCACCGACTTTGCGCACAAAATGGAGTCCCTAGCACCCATTGGCCAATTGCTATTGCAAGGGAATTGCGTTGCGAACTTTAAGGATTGGCTTAGCTCAGCCGATCGTCTTTGCGTCAGGTGAATTTTGTAGGGTTGATAATCCTCAATCTACGGTACTGTTTGTAAAAAGGCAGCCGATGGGGCAAGGGTGAATTTCTTCTAGCTGTCAGGAATGTATTTAACCATAGCATTTATTGTATACATTCACATGCACATCTTTGCTTCTGATAGGAGCGTGCGTTTAATTCCAGGTATTTTTGGAACCATGAACCCGTTTTATGTCATACCTTGTACCTGGATACCCTCGAACACTTGACAAATGCCACAGCGCGCAATCCCGGCAGACCATGTGCCTAAAACAGGGTTCTTTTTCACACTTAAGAAGCAGCACATTGTTTTGAATGTTAGAGGGTTAGATCTGTGTACTGCAGTTAGGACTGTGGGACTGGATTTATTTAGCAACACAGTGTTTTTTTTTTTAACAATTCTGCCCTTCACTGTTAAAGTTCACATGCATGTTATGCATGGGTATTGTTTGTTTTTTTTTTCTTATTGGGTACCTGGCCCGAAAAATGGAACCGGGTTTGGACATTGACGGGCGGGTATCCGGGACGGGCCCCAGTTCCAGATTAGCCACTTGTGCACGCACTACGTGTGGTAGCTTCCCTGGAAATTTCCCAGCATGCAACAGGATTAGGGTTAAGCTATGAAATAAAAATGTTTTCCTCATACAAATTTTGTGAGTGAATCGGGCTCATTACACTCTGCAATAACAAAAGCAGGACACTGGCGCCGAGTGCTCGTAAATTAGGTCAGCACAAGGCAAACCCTGAGTAGTTTATGGGTTGTTTTTGCCTCGTATCTCATGGAAGGAACATTAATGCACTGTGTAGACCCCCGTTATGGGACCGGAAACAACCCATTGCACTTTCCATGTTTATAGAAGCGGAGATGAGCCGAATGATTCACTAGCAATATGTATGCCAAGGAAATTGAAGACTACCAAGGAAATTGAAGACTACCGGTCCGAAACCAATTACCTGGCTTTAGTGTCTCCCTAGTCAGCCTGGCGCTGTCAACCTTGTCAAAACCACCGAGGAAGAACTTAAATTGAGGGATGTACATGTGTGTGTGCGCCAGCACCACCCAAATAGACTCGTCAAATCCTACCGGTATCTATGTTACCCAAAGCCAGCTTGCAAGTTGTTATGTTTGGCCCAAATGCCCAGAGCCTGCAGCGCGCGAACATGATTTGTTTACAGAACTACATGAGCTGTGACTTCTTTGACAAAAAAATAATAACAATAATCGTGGTCGGTGCATGTGCATGTACATGTCATGTGGGCAGGGAGATTATGTACATGTACTTTAGCAAAAGAATGAAATGATGCCCTGCCGAGCCCATGTTGAATTGGTAATTTCTTTCATTACGAACTTTTTTTATGTGCATTGCAGGAAGTTTCGGACTCAGTTATGGGGAGAAAAATTTTTATCTTGGAGGAATCGGCTGAATCTTGATAAAAGCAAAAGGGGGGGGGGCACCTTGGAATTGGATTCAAGAAGACAAGAAACATTCGTTTGCTCTGTCTTTAATTTGTTTGCATGTAAAATAAGCTGCGCTCTGTGTATTTTTTCACTGATAATTCATGCACATGTAACGAGTGACCAGTTGCCGTAGGAACTGCATTTTCGTACATATACAGTCAGAACACTGTCAACACCATAACAACAGCTCTGCTATAACAACATTCTGCTTAGAATTTTGAGGCCCGATTTGTTCTTCTTGAGTCTAACTCCTGATAATACCAGGTTCCTGTTAAAACAAGGTAACCTACCGGTACCAAGTCCAAAGGACCTGTTATTCAAACCCTCCTTTTGCTGTAACAACAGTCAAACATTCCTTCCACTTCTCCCTGTATAGGACACGGACATATCACATGTCGCTTGACTAATTTTGGACTGATAGGGCTACTGTGTCAAGTATGCATCTTTGCGTAGGAGGGTCATTCTTTAAATTCGGGGTCCAATTTTTTCCCCGTCCCTGTTACATCTAGTGCATGTGATTTTTTAACGTTTAGAGCTCACCGTTGAATTCCAAGATTGCACAAGGACTGTACATGTCCCCGGTAAATTATTACCTGCCAAACAAATA